TTTAAGTACAGTCAGTTACAGTGTGTCGATCTCTGGTGTACAACACAATGTCCCAGTCATGCATACACATACATACATTCATTTTCATATTCTTTTTCATTAAAGGTTATTACAGGATATTGAACATAGTTCCCTGTGCTACACAGAAAAAACTTTTTTCTTTTCCTTTTGGTTTTTGTAATCTATTGTATATTTTTGATTTGTGGTTATCATGTTTTTTAAGTATGTTAACCCATAACCTTATCTACTTCCTTTAGACTGATATCCATATAAGTTCAAACACATTCTAAAAGATCTACATTTTTTACTCCTTTCCCCCACATTTTGTGATTTTGATATCTTATTTTACATCTTCATATTTATTCTTCTGCTGTTCATTTTATTTATAATTGCTTTTACTGAAAAATTTTGATTGTTTTTAAAATTTCTATACCGGCAGTTGAGCTAATTTCGGTTAGTTTCTCTTTACAGTTTCTAGTTCTTTGTTACAGTATTCTGCATTTCTAGTGATAATTTTTCTTAATTCCTTTAACATTTTTATTACCTCCTTTTTGAATGCTAGGTCTGGTAGACTGGAGAGGTGTGCTTTATTGTTTGTTCTTTCAGGGGATTTTTCTTGTTCCTTTAATTGTGAGTAGTTCCTCTTTTTCATTTTACTTAAATTTCTCTGACTATGAATTTAGGAGAAACGCCTATTTACTGTGGTCTTAAAGGGCTGTTTTTATGTGGGAGCATCCCTGTGTAGACTGTGTGAGTCCAGTATTTTTGGTGCAAGGGCTGTTTTTGGTATGGATGCCTGCCACGTCTTTCCTCAGAGTGTGCTGGTTGTTGTCCCCTCGATAGGGGGTGTGTTTGGTGTTATGGTGACCAGAACCTTCAATGGTGGTTGTATGGGGCCACCTCTTTGCTTTGTGGCTATCAGGGCAGGGTCTGCTCCCTAGTTGTTGGAGTGGAAGCCCCCAGATCTGGTTCTGAGCTGCAGAGTAAGGGTGGCAGGACTGGAGCACTCCCACTGGAAAAGGAGCTACTGCATACTCTTCCCCAGAAGCTTTCTGCCAGGGATGTACAACTCTGTGATGCTGCCTGCCGCCTGGTGTGCTCGCCCACAGAGGCTGCTGCTGCTGGTACCGCCACCCTGACTAGCCCTCACTGTGAGAGTGCTGATAATCAGCTGGGATGTCAGCCCCATGTCTGATGTGTGCATGCTTCCAAAGCCCGCTGCCACCAGAGCTGCACCCCTCCTTGAGCATGCTGACAGTGGGGCCCCTATGGCAGACCTGCGCTCCATCCTCATGTGCCAACAATGGCAGCCTAGAGCACACTCCAGTCCCCTCGGGCTATCTCTGTGCAGCCAAACCAAATCCCCTCCCTGGGCCTGTCTGCTGAAGTCAGAGTTTCAGTGCCCAGCCACTTTGCATACCAGCAGGTGTGTGTTTTGGGCTGGGAAGTGTGGGACATGGCAGCTGTCACAGTCAGTCCCTCTCTACCCTGCCCACCAGCAAACCAGCACCTGCACACTCCTCCCGAGTGAAGTACAGGCCTCTCCAACTCCCTAACTGTCCCAGCAGACCTCCCAGCAGGTGCAGGAGGTCCCCAGGGCGAGGGAACCTTTCCTCTTTCACAGCTCCTTCCCAGGGGCACACCGTCTGTCCTGATTCCTCCTCCTTTTTATTTTTTCCTTTCATACTACGCGGTTATGTGGGGATCTTTCTTGGTTGTATAAGAGATCTGCCAGCTCACAGTTGCTATTCTGTGAAAATTGTTCCACATGTAGGTGTATTTTTAATGTATTTGTGGGAGGAGGTGAGCTCTGTGTCCTTCTACTCCTCCATCTTTCTCTCCTGTCGTGTTAATAGTTGTGTTAGGACTGTAAAAACTGCATATGCTCCAGTGCTGCATATTCCAGTGTGGGCACTCATCTCACTTCTCCCTTTTCCCCTCTTCTTTTTATCTCTTCTTTTTTTTTTTTTTTTTTTTTTTTTTTGTCCCATCATCTGTTGTCTCTTTTATGAAGAAGGAAGTCAGGGCAGGGAGAAGATAGAGAGGAAGAGGAAGATCCTCTTATTACTAGAATTTCTTCTTGGCTCCACACAACTAGATTTTGCTCATTATTTTCATCCCTAGATAGTTACAACAGAAGGACAATATTTTAGCTCTATATTCTTCATTAATAACTATTTTAGTAGAAAAATATGTTTCCAAACTAAAGGACAAAACTTAGGGGCTTTTGTTTCTTCTGATTTTTATACAATAGGCAAAAACTGCAAACTTGATATTGTGTGTTTCTTATGTCTCAAGGAGCAGGGATGTGGTGGGTGAAACTTGAAAGGCAAACTGAAGATCAAGAGGGATTTGAGGGGAAAAGTTAAGGCTTCTTTTCGTAATCATTTCTTCTGAATTTAATTATTTTTAGACTTTTAGTGTTTGAACTGTAAAAAAAAAAGTATTTTCTTTGAAAAAGTTATTTTCAATTTCTTTCCCTACAAGAATCTTTTTCTAAAAAATTCTTACCTATGATCGCAAGAAACAAATTGAATAAAAATCAAGTTCTCTGAAAGATCAGGGTCAAGCTCAGGTTATTACAGAATAGAACTTGGAAGCTACTCATCTAAAATTGTGAAAGTGAACGAAAGTGGAACTGAAGACATGATAGGTTCTCAATGAGAATTTGATCTGAAATGAATCGAAAGGATTTAGAAAATGCCTTTTTGTGTATGTATGACTATTGAGAGGGGAATGTTGGGGAGTCTTAACTTATTTTAACTTGCTCTTGATATCTTATTTATCAGATCCAGGTCATCGAGAATGACAGAGCCACCAGAGGGGGACAAGTTTATGCCACCAACACCAGAGGCCAGATCCCTCCCCTCGTCACTACAGATTGTGTGATACAAGACCAAGGTATTTCTTTTCAGTTATGTTTTTGATAGAGGTCTTAGTATTTCTCACTATTTTTTTAAGCAAAAATACTGACAATCTTCAGTAATGCTGTCTCTGGTGGGCAGCCCTGTATAACTGGTAACAGAAACTAATTTGCTATCAATCAGTCAAGCATGGAGAAGGTACTGTCAACTGAGCTCTGTTCTCTGCCTGTAGAGGTCTAGAGTTTCTGGTGAGATACAGCACAATATAGCAGTTTAAGAAAATTTAAATTTTAATGTATGGGTTAAAATTTGTTTGTGCCCCACTTTGGTTTACTTTATTTAGTACAGCGGACACCTGGCAGGGCGGCATGAGCAGAGCAGTAGGGGATTGCATACTTGAGTCAGCAGACCTGGTTCTAGCCCCAGTGATGTTTTCCAGCAGGTCCTTTAACATTTGGGGTTCTGTGTTCCCACTTTTGAACTGGATGAGGAAAGGTTGAGCTTTGTCTCTACTGACTCTGTCCCACATCTGCTATCAGTTTTATACATCTGTCAAGCCTTGTTTGATCTTTCTGAGAATATATTATTCTGTTGTTGATGGCAAGTTAAAATACAGCCTGATGAAATGTGATGTCTCAGATTCTGAGTATTCCATTTTAATGGGTCGTAACTCAGTTCTAGAAATATGACATTGGTATACAAACGAATGTATCATCATCTCACAGCTGTCAAGCCAGCCAGTTTCCAGCTGGGGCTCCCTTCTCTTCAGTCCATCCACTGTGCTGCCTTCAGCACTGTCCTTAGAGAGCAGGTAGCACAGTGAGGCAAAAAGAGCTCTGATTGGAAGCCTTGCACATCTGCACCCACATCCAGGCTCCCCTCCTACTGTCCTGAGCTTTGCTCATCCCACCTCCCTGAACCCCAGTGTCACCCTCTGTGAGATGTCAGGATTAAGACCTCCCCTGCAGGGCCAGTGTGAAGAATAGAGGTGACTCTGTGTGTGTGTGTGTGTGTGTGTGTGTGTGTGTATGCACACGTGTAAATACGCTTATATGTATGTAGGGTGCTAGACCTGTACAAGTGATATAAACTACAGATGATGTTACTGTTACAGATATTAATATTAAAACATAATTCATCACTTCATTTCCTATTCTAAAAATGATTTCTTCCTGACTACTTACAGAATCCATTCAAATTTGTTAAATGAATTCACATTTGTAAAGCACTTAGATTGGACTAAATGAAATTGCTGATTTTTTGCTATTATTGTTGACCTACAGAAGTGGAAGTTCATTTCAACCCAAGTTAGTGTTACATTAGTGTTTAAAATATTTATTTATTTTATATTTTAAATAAATATAAAATAGTATTTTATGTGGATTAATTCACTTAATCCCCCTGCATAACTTTATGAAATAGGCATTGATATTATCCTCATTTTACAGAATGTGAAACTGAGGCACAAAATGCCTAGGTAACTTACCCAAGATACGTAGCTGGTGGAAAGTAAAGCTAGAATTTGAACCCTGGTATTCTGACACTAGAACCCATGTTCTTAACCTCTCATTTACTGCTCTGTTCAGAAATGAAAGACATGGTTCTATTCTTAAATGAGTGTACAGTCTGGCAGGAAGAAAGGTAACCAAATGTTAATCCAGTGTGATAAATGTTATAATGGAAGGATAAATGGCATATGGCCATGGAAACTTAAGTGTGAGGTAACTAACCAGACAACCCAGCCGGTCCTGCTAGAGTGGGGACAACTAAGCGGAGTCTTAAGTGAGGAGGTATAAACCAGAGCAAAGGTGGAGAGAATGGGAGAGGAGAAGGTTGCCAAGTGGCAGAGACGGGCATGCTAAGGTTTGGTGGCAAGAGAGAGTGTATGTGTTAAGGAGAGTGCGGGTTTTTTTTGTTTTTGTCTTCTTTTTGAGCATACGGTGATTTTTTAAATTGAGGTTAAATACACATAAAATAAAATTTGCCATATTAATATAATTTTAAGTGTACAACTCAGTGACATTGATTACACTCACAGTGTTGTGCAACCATCATGATTATCCATTTCTAGAACTTTTTCATCATCCTACACTGACACTCATTAAACAGTAGCTCCCCCTTCCTCCACTCTCCCAGCCCCTGGTGTCTCCTGTTCTCCTTTCTATCTCTATGAATTTGCCTCCTCTAGGTGTCTCATATAGGCAGATTCATACAAAGTTTGTCCTTTTGTGTCTGGTTTGTTTGACCTAGCATGATATTTTCAAAGTTCATCCATGTAGCATGTATCAGAATTTCGTTCCTTTGTAGGGCTGAATGATACTCACTTTTATGTGTATACCACATTTTGTTTAGCCACTCATCTTTTGAAGGACATTTCATTGTTTCCACCTTCTGGCTGCAACGAATACTCATAGTTGTGACATTGGTGTGCAAGTGTCTGAGCCCATGCTTCCCGTAGTTTTGGGTGTATACCCAGGAGCAGAACTGCTGGATCATACGGTGCACGTATGGTAAGAATACGAGGCAGGAGCAGGGAGAGAAGGGAGGAGCAGGTGGTGGCGGGGTCCAGATCGTCGTCATCTCTCCGTAGCCCGCAGCCCGGCCCTTGACAACACGAGAGAGCTGCCTGGCACAGAGGGCACCCCTTTGCTGTGAAGCCCCTTCGTCTGACTGGCTTATTTGCTAATTCTTACTAGTTGACTTTGTAGGATATAATCCGGATCTGAGACACATACAGGAATTCACAAATAGAAATAAAATGTAGAGCCAGAAGGAACCTCAGACTTTGTTTGCTTTGCTCTCTCAATTTTCAGATGTGAGGGCACTAAGGCCCAGGGAGGCTAAGTAACTTGCCCAGGACCACACAGCCGGTTAGTGGCAGAGCCAATAAGGAGAAGCACCTACTTTAAGAACATTGCTCCTTTGCCTTTGGCTGCAGGGTCTAATTTAAGACTCATCTTGTCCCTTGGGTCCGTGCTTCTGCCCATCCTACAAGGCTCTGTTTAAGTACTGCATCCTTTGTTGAGTCACCTCTGACCCATGTGGCAGACTCATTGCCTCCCTTGGGCCACTTCTTAATCGATTTGCTCTTGTGAGCCTTGCC